AAGCTAATCTATTATATAGATAATATAAAATAAAAATCTAAGCTAAAGAAAGATAATCTAATTAAAATTATTATATAAATTATAATTTATGAATTTTATTTTAATATAAAATAAAAAATTATTTTTTAATAAAATTATAAAGTTTAATATAAAGAAAAAATTTCAATTTTTACTAATATTTTATTAATAAAATCAATTTTTTAATTTTATAATTATAAGAATCACTATATATTAATAATAATAATTATATAATACTAAAAATTTTTATTAATTATAATTAATAAAATATTTTTTTTATTATATAGATTTTTAATTTTACTAATAAAAATTTTTTATTTTAACTAGTTTAAATTATATTTTTTTTTAGATTATATATAAAACTAATTAGTTTTTATTAATTAATAATTAATAAAAATCAATTATTTTTATATATAATATATTATAAATAAGTCACTAGCAAAAAATATATATTAAACTAAAAAACTTAAAATAAAAAATTTTTATTAGTAAATTAAAGACTTTTATATATAATAAAAAACATGTATTTTGCTAATTATAATTAGTAAAGAATTTAAATATTATATATATATAATAATTTATTAATTTTAATAATATTATTATTTATAATTTTTTATATAAATAATTCTGGTATTAGATTAGAAATCTTATTTTCTGATTTTCTCATTTAATAAATATTTATTTTTAAATAACCACAAAAGAAAAGGAAAAGAATATAATAATTCATTATATAAACTAAGAATGCTTGCTAAAAATACCAAAGCTAAAATTATAATTAACTATTAGTATGTAATTCATCTTAATTATTAGATCTTTTTGAATTTTAGCAATATGACAGATATTTTTCAATAATTTCAGCAAGCATCCTTAATATCTCTTTTATAAAGAGTTTCTCTTTTTTTTCTTTTTTTATTTAACACATTACTTAATTGTTACGACTTTTCCTATAATCTTGGCTTTTGAATTGTAACTTATCCTATTGCCGCGTTCCTTTTTGTTGTGTCTTTCCTTGCCGCTCTCGTCTTTTTGGTGGTCTGGTGCATCTATTTTTGGCTCTTCAAAAGATATGATTTGCATCTTTTATAGTACCAATCCGAAAGCAAGCTTAATATGTAAAATTGTCTTCCCGTCATTTTTTAAATATTACATTTTCCGTGCCACACACGCCACATGTGCCATCTACTTTAAACATATTCGGCTTAACCTGTCCTCTGATGAATGATTGGTTAACAATTATTTATAACTCGGGTGCAAATAAATTATAACAAATGAATTCATTTCTTTAATATATAACATAAAATCACATAAAGCAAAAGCAACATTAATCAGTGCAAATGGCGAACAGAAAGTTACAAAGTAAGCAAGATCTCGTTTCCTCAGTCTTTCAAAAAGACAAATACATTGTGTATTTATATGACTTCTTAAATAGCTGAAATTGATCGCGTCCTAAAGAAAGTTTCTGAAGGAGTTGCAACCTTCGAAGAAATATTCGATAAAATCCAAGCTACCAATAATGCAAATCAAAAAGAAAAGTTAGAACAAGATCTCAAAAAAGAAATCAAAAAGCTTCAACGACACAGAGATCAAATTAAAACTTGGATATCTTCAAACGATATAAAGGATAAACGTGCGCTTCTTGACAACCGAAAGCTTATTGAACAGGTATTTGGTATCTATAATTTTGATTCATGTGTCAATTCGTCTATATTATCCTTCATTAATTGGTTTTATATCTATCGTTCAATTTTGATCTGAAATGATCTATTAGCAAATGGAAAAATTCAAAGCATGTGAAAAAGAAATGAAAACAAAAGCATACTCTAAAGAAGGATTATTGCAATTAACAAAGATGGATCCTAAAGAGAAAGAAAAAATGGAGACATGTGAATGGTTGAATAACATGGTAGAGCAACTTGGTTTGCAGATTGAAGCAGCCGAAGCAGAAATAGAAAGTCTTCAAGTAGTTGTGAAAAAAGGACGAAAGGATGTGCAGAAGCTTGATCGACTGACAGAAATTGAACATGCAGTCGAAAGACACAAGTGGCATACAAACAGATTAGAATTAATATTACGACTATTAGAGAATGGAAATATTCCAACTGAGAAGGTTTATAGCAAATCCTTTTATTTTTTTTTATTGCCAATTTAATTTGTTGATTTTTTATTTACATCACCGTTATAATAATAGGTTATTAATATTCAAGAAGATGTAAAATATTATGTTGAAAGTAATCAGGTTGGCAAGTACTTTGCTAATTTTAACTCTCATCTAATTATTTTTCGATTTATTAACTAACCATTTGATGCAAAAATATAGGAACCAGATTTTGCAGAAGACGAAAACATATACGACGATTTAAATTTAGAAGAGGAAGAAGAGCTATACGGTATCGCTAATGAAGATCATCAAAGTAGCCACGAATCAAACAGTGATGGTATTTATTATTAGTTTAAAGTTAATTTTTGGTAGCTTTTTTATGACTTTTTTCTGTTTATAAAATTGTGATTAATAATAATCCTCTCTAATTTTTTAAAATAGAACAACCAACACCACAAAAAGAAGTAAATAAAATTTATATTTATTTCGTATATTCATTATCGATTGTTTTATAAGCTATAAATTCATATTGATCTATTGTTGGAATTAGCATTCTAGTCCAGTCAGCACATCGCCTACCGTAAGGATCATGCCTAAACCTCAAATTGCAGCGGCAACAACAACTACAACTACAGCAACTTCAGCTGCAACAACAGCAACTTCAGCTGCAACAACAGCAACAACAACTCAAACGCAATCTGTTCCTCCAACGCGAAGTATGAATATAATTATGAGTATTATAGTCAGAATTATAAAGTTGTAATATCAGAATAACTATAATGCTTTGACTTGTTATAAGCAGAAGTCAGCATTAGCACATCTTATGAGGCAATCTCGACGACGATAGCAACTACAACAAAACCTAAAGAAGGTAATAGTATTATTAGAAAGCAAAAGAATGTAGTTTATTCATTCGATTCATTAGGATTATGAAAAAATGCATTGTCGATTCTAAATAGATAATATATCTTTTGCGGAAAAAATGAAATCTCCGGCATCTAACGTCTCGGAAGTTCCACAATCTCCACCTTCTTCGGATTCTGTGTATCCTCCTTTGAAATCTACAACAGCATCTCGGACATTAGCAGAGGTTGCAAGGGAATCTTCGACAACTTCAGCTCCTTCATCGCAACGATATCTTTCTGCGACCACAGCATCTTCGGCATTACAAGATCCAACTACTGTTTCAATACCTCAG